ACTCATCAGTGCCTGCAATCAGCAACAGCAGCGACAACGACTATGAAATCAGAGCAGTCCAATCGCTGCAGGTGCAACGAGTAACTGGTCAACAACGGTATAAGAGGAGTTAAATAAGTTTTAAGTATGCATGCGGTTGCAGTTGTGTGTGTGTGTGCGCGTAGAATGATTGTGCGTAGGCAACAGCATTTATCTCGAATTCTGGCATCAACGTCACCACCCAAGTGATGACTATTTTTGTTTTTGCCACGCAGGGCTTCCATCTCGCCTAAATATGTATGGCATACGCAGTGGTGTACCGCAAGTGACAACAAATAAAGGAAAACAGCAAGCAATGTACATATGTATGCAAAATAGTCCAGCCAGTCAGCCATTCATGAAGTTATCAGCAAGTTGCAAAGCTGTGCGGCGATTGCTGCTTGTTGGTCACATATTGCCATAAGCATAAGAGGTATACAAATATGTACATATGTATGCAAGTATGTATGTAGATGCCGCTTTGCTTTTCCTCACTGCTTCCCTCATGTTGGCAAAACATTCTAGCCAATTCATCATTTTGTCAGCGTGACAAACTCAACAATTGACAATTTTTCAAGCTGCCAACGCTATAGAGTTGCTGAGTTGTCGTTCGGACGAGTGGCAGCAGCGTGGCAGCAAGGCTGAGTGGCAGAATGAATGCTCGAAACGAGAGTTGGGAGTTGGGCGGCGGTAGTTAGGTGAAGTGTATGACAGTCGTTCGCCTGCTCCTCCATCAAAGTTCGTTTTACAAATATGTAAATGTGTGTGGACAGACTGCGATGAGATGGGTTCTGCGGTGTTTGAGAGATATGCGCACATAGTAGACGCAGCTACTTACTTATTCGTACATATGTATGTATGTACGTATGTGTACCTCGTTTTTGCATATGTAGCATGTACATACATATATATTTTTTGTCAACGTCCTGCGTGAATGCTGATAAAGTGTGACAGATAAAAAAGCGACTTTTGAATATTTTAAGTGGACTATCACCGGCGGTTGGACCGCATGCCACAAAACGTACTTGAACTGTTATTGTGTGTGTGAGCTTGTGTGGGTGTGAGTGTGTTCATGCATGTGAAATGGTAAGGTGAAGAGTTAGGAACAGTGGTCTGGAGGTATAATGAGAAGTCCTTTTAGTGTAGCCCCCCCCCCCCTACTCTTAGATTTAATTTAGAGCCCTCCGATGGGAGTGCCACACACCGTATCGTCCTCCCAGCACTTCCTCGAAAGAATACGAGTGAAGAACTTGTTCTCGAGCTTCAAAGACGGTGTTGTGTAGTCTGGGGACCTAAAAGCATGAGGGTAGTTGGTTAGAACGTTGTTATGTCCAAATCTGGATAAAAACGAATGCTGTAATTTGCGATTTTAAGCTTTTTCACATCTAGAAACGCCGAAATTATTTGTTTTTGGCAACTTCGAAAAAATTCGAACATAACTTCGAATTTTCGAGCTTAACATTTTCAACTAAAAATTATCATTGATAACTTTTGAGAACATTTCTGAACATTTAGCGTTTAATTATTCAGCTTCGATTGTTTTTTTGCGAAATTCTATAACATCCCCTCTTCAGTAAACAATGAAGAATTTTTTACGACTAGTAAATTGTGTTCACTAGAATACATTTTCTAGCTACGCCATCAAGATATGTATTTATTAAGCGCAACATTCCCCGGCACTCGAAACTCACGCAAGGCTATTAATTTCGTTTTTATTGCGTTATATACGGCTTCTTCATAGCTTTAACTCAATTAAACACGGATTACCAACACATGTCTTTAGAGGTAACCACATATATACATACATATATATGTGTTTACAACATACTTCATTGCGGTGCGACAGTAAATTAAGAGGTGTTGACAAAATTGCCGACACGTACAAATAAATTCGTTGGATTGACTGCAGGACCGGGCGCGGCATTTGTAATCCTGCGCGATGACAAAGCACACTTCCCTTTGCTCCGAAAAAATATATACCCATAAAAGCAAATAAATACAAGCTTTTGCTTTTGCTTTAATAAGGACGTGCTTACGGCTGGCGATTGTCGCATGTGTTTCATATTGTGTATTTTCCGTTCAGAGCGCACATTTGTCAGCTTGTTATTGCTTTATACTTTGTTATTATTATTGTTAGCATTATAATTTTGTGGCGCATTGATTGCGTGACAAATCATTTATGCCGCAAATGCCACAAATTATTGGCGCGCAGCCCAACGCAACGGGCCAAACCGCGGCACATGCCACCACAATTCCAACGCCAACCAACCACTTACCGCAAAGCACTTTCTTCCATCCGACGCGCGCAATAATTCTATGTTTGCGAGTGGTAGCTGTGGTGGCAAAATGGAGTGTCATTAAAAAATTGCAACAACAATAAGGCGAACAAAAACGCGGAAGGATACTGCAAGCGTAAATTCTTGCTGGTCGCTATATTGTTTGGGTGGACAGATAAGCGACAGTGGCACTCATTTCAGCGCGCGCGCGCGCTCGCCCTCCTACGAGTGCGTTCACTTTGGACAGCCATAAGCTCCAAATGACAAACTGCGCTACGCTATGCAGTGTCACTAGGCGGACAGTCTGCGTTAGTTGTTAGCTGAAGAGGGAGCTCATACACTGTTGGCGCAAACAAGCACGCACATACATACAAATACCCCAACAATCCAGACATTCAACGCTTGACAGGCGCGTTGAACGGCGTCGTGACAGATAGACATTGTCAGTAGTGATTAACTCTACTCTAGCTTGTTGTCACTCGCTTGGCTGTGTTCATTAAGCGTCGAACATATGCGGTAGCAGCTCAATAAAAAATTAAGCACATGAGTCCATTAATTTTTCGACGATGACAAATTTATTTTCAACATTTTTTCGAACGCGCCATATTTTTCAACTTTATTCTTTCTTTTGATTGCTGCGCACTTTTTGTTGTTGTATTATTGTATTGTTTGCAAATAGCCGTACATCACACAGTTGATACGAAAAATTGTGGGCGTCTATGACACTAATGGACTACATTTGTTTGAGTGCAATCGGGCTGGTTGAGCACCACGCGCGGTGTTTTGTTTTTTGTTCGTTTATTATTATTTTTTATTGTTATTGTTTTTCATTGTTCTCGTGATTAGTTGACAAATTTTTTCATGCTTGTCCTTTCGCGCCACTGTGACATTTTGTTAGATAATTGTCAACTTTTGTTGTCAGGCTTTTCACTTTTTTTTTTGGTTGTTGTTGCTGTCGTGTAGATAAGAGCTCTCTAATGCCGCCGCTGCCGCGTGACTGCACTGGCTTAACCTGGGTTAGACGTACGCGCGCGATAACAGCAGATAGCTTTGTGTTGTCAGAATGTTAATTGTTTGACTGCTTGTTTCGAAAATAGTAAACGGGTTAGGGAGGTCATGTATTGATTGTATGTATATGTTCCTTAGGAAGTTAAGGGGTATGTGAAGACGGTTACATTAGGACAGAATTCTTGGAAAATACAAAATTAAATATTTTACGCTAATCTAATTCATTTTTTTACAATAAAAAATATACATATGCTAACAAGCAAGCTTCAAACATATCTAATTTATAGTTTTCAAAAAATTTCGCAGTCGATAGTCAAATTCGAAGTTTCGAAAATATTCTCTGACCAACTGGTGAGATATTCCTTTAGAGGCAGCGTATTTCCGAACTTCCAGCAAAGCTATAGAACTAAACTTGATAGATTTCGAAAATTTCGAATTTACAGTACAGTTGACGAATTTTAAAACCTTAAACTCTAAGATTAAAAGACTTATTCAGAGGATGCAAGACGTGTGTATTTAAAAAATACAAAAAAAAATATATATATTTCGAATTTACGCTTTTTCAAACGCTGCCTCTAAAACAAAATGTCGCCATTTTGTGTCAAACAATATCAGAGAATTTTCGACCATATTTTCGAAATTTTGAAATTGATTATCGAGTTTTCGAACTTGAAAAAATTTTAATTTTTTTTTTTTTTTTTGAAATAACCTGACAAATACAATTTTACAGCACAAATATTTCTAAAGACAGAGAGAGCTCATAATAAAAAGGAGCAAATGAATGGATTCGAAACAAAGAGTTGTAAACGATTTTTAGTATTGAATTATTATTTTTTAGAAGTCAACGCCAGCTGTAAAATTTCAGGCAATGGGCTTTATGTTGAAAAGAATGTTCGGCTTTTTCGTCTATTGAACAGGTAGAAGAGTCAGCTATAAATAGAGTTTAATTGGGCCTCTAGTCATCGAAGCATCCACCGTAAGCAGGCTTCGAGAAACGAGTCGTTTATGACGTTAAAAAATAAAAGCAACATTTACGCGCACCAACTACACGTTTCTAGGCATGGCCCTTGTAAATAGCTATTTTGGACTTTGTGGTGCCTCATTGGTTTAATCTTTGCACTATTTTATTAATCAAATTAATTTTTCGGCCGAAAATCAGTTTCCGCCCATTCGAAATAATTTTCCTGATTTTTATTCAAACTCAAATTTGTTTAACACAAGTCATTAATCTTAAAGTCAAACAACCCATAAAATTCAGTGCATTCCTGCTGTTTATCACAGTTTCGAATACTCGCTCGCCTACCGCGCGCGCACACTTAGCCGCACTGCCGCACTAGCTATAACAGCTTTTTGGCTTGCCAAGTGTCAAAGAAATATGATAAATGTTTATAAACTTACTGAATAATCGCCCACAATTAGGGACTGACATTTTTGTCGGAATTTTCATTCAGCCACAGCAAGCAAAGTACGCATTTTTGGTCGCTAGAAATTACCCCCACCTCCCCCCCCGAGAAGCTATTGGCTTGCCGCCTTTTTGTGATACAACACAGCTAGTATTTGCCTGGTAAATTAACATTTTCTACATATGTACAAATTTTTTTTGTTTGCTTTCAAAATTATCTCTTAACGATTTTCCTTTTTCTTAATTTTTCAAAGCAGCAAGTAAGTACATATTTTTTTTCTACTTCATTACTTTACCTCGTCCAAGCAAATGTGCCGCATAGAGTATCTCACGAAAATGCTGATGCGCCTGCTGATGTAATAACGTAAACGATTCAGCCAAATTGGCAGCCATTGCCGCTGCACCACCGAACCCGCCAAGTGCTGCCGTGGCGGGCAACACATTGCTGCTCGCTGCTGGTGGCGGCGCTGGCAGTGTTGCTTGCTGTGTTGATGGCAGTAAAGCGTTTGTCGCCAGCGGGGTGCCTGGCAATGGATACATCGATGGCGTGGTGGCGGCGGCGGCGGCTGCAGCGCTCTTTAGTGCCGTGGAAAGCGCAGTGGCGCTGTTGGGCAACAAACCGCTACCGTTACCGATGCTCGCACTTTTAAGGCCGCCGTGATTGTTGTTGTTGTTGGCCGTTGGTGACAACGCCGAACCGGACAGCGAGGAGAGCGTGTCGCAAGTGCTGCTGCCTGTGCTGCCAACACTGGAGCAACGCTGCTGTTGTTGTTGTTGTTGTTGATGTTGTAGATGCATGTGCTGCTGTTGTAGTTGTGGCGCTGCTGTCTGTTGATGCTGGCATAACGTTTGCGGCGTGCTGTTGTTGTTGAAGCGCAACGATTTTATCAGCTGCGCAGCGGTGGTTTTTATGCAATTCTCCTGCTGTTGTTGGTGTTGCTGCTGCATTTTGAGTAAATCACACAATTCACAATTTTTCATTTTGCCACAGTGTTTGTCTGTGCCGTTGTTATTTTTTGTTTAGGTTTTCGTTTTCGGCTGATTTCTTTGCTTTTAATTTCCACGCTGATTTTATGTTTATTTTTATGGCTTTTTTATAATTTGTTTGCGTTATTTATTTGTTGTGGTTTATGACTTTTGTAACAAAAATATATGTGTATGTGGATGTATTTACATTTAACATTCATTTATATTATTTTTATGCTTTTTTACATAGTATTTATTTTATTGCTTTCAAGTTTTCAACAAGGAAGCATTTCTCTTCAAACTTTGTTTGGGGTTTTGTTCTTTTTTACGACGATAAGGCAACTATTTTTACGTTTTGTTTAACTTTTCATTCATTAACTCAGCACTTTTTAGTATGTGTTTTTTCGGTTATTTTGTATAAATGGATTTCCATTTAGTAGCAGCTGGTGGCTTGTGACACTTTCTATTTTGTAAAAATTTATTGTTTTTAGTTTTTAATAGAAGTTTTGATTTCTGCTTCGGCACTGATATTTGTTTATTTCCTTGATATTTAACATATTCTGCAGATTACAAAATATTTGCTAATTTTGAGTATCAAAAAGATATGAAATTAATATCATTGAAAAATTGCCCATATTTTCGGTACTCAGTGGTATAAATTTATTGATATTTTTTTAAGTTGTAAGTTTATTTAATATTACATACGAGTAATTCGGTTTGGTAATTTTTTTACTTTTAATTATTTATTTTTTATTTTTTATATGCCCATATATTCGGCAATTTAGCAAGATAATTTTTTCCGATAAAATTAAAAAAAATTTTTTTTTAAGTTCTTTATTTATTTAAGGTTTATTAATTTTTTAATCTCATTTTAATTTAAAATAAATTTCAGAAAAGTTTTTAAAATTCATATTTTCTAATTTTTTGTAATTTTTTGCTTTATTCCATAAAAATATTTTTATTTTTACTTATTTTAATGTTATTTCACTTCATTTTGCATTTATTCGTATTTATATTCCGTCACCGCTTCTCCAACTTTCCAGAAAAAGAAAAAAAAATACAAATACCACACATTCAACATGCAGACCATTTGCCGCTTTTCGAAAATTAATCAATGTCTCTCTTACCAAATAATTACAGCGCAAAAATTTTAAAAATCTTAATACCAAAAAAAATACAACGCTGCACTGGCGGCACAAATATTTCTATTAACGCGTTTGAACGGATTTTTTGGCGCCGACACCACTCTCCTTTCAATTTAAGTATTTTATTTATTTTAATTAAACATTTTCCCGTCCCTTTTTTTTTTTGGTTTGAGTGCATTGCTTTGCTGAAATTGGCATAGCAGCCTACATAAGTGCGCGCAATTGAGTAGCAGATAAAAAAATTACGAATGAAGCAAAAAATTAAATAAATTGTGCAATAAAAAATCACTCTGCGCATTAGGCATTTACGTAAAAAATAGTTGTATGTCACAGCGCGCCGCAGGTGACCACAGTGTGACAGCTAATTCTAAGCGGCCGCCACATTGCTGCTGCACATTTTGCAATGACTGTCATATTGGCAGCCACTTTTGACTATTGACTTAAGAATTTAGTGGCATGGCGCTTTTATTGTTGTTGTTGTTCGTTCTCTTCTTGGCTGCCAGTTGGGTGACATTCATGCGATTATTAGCTGAGCTGCTGCCTCCTACTGGCCGACAGTTTGCCAAAATAAATACTAAACAAATGCAAAACAAGTAATTTTCTGCACAGTTGGCAACGCAAACGAGTGCGTGAATTTTTTCATAATTTATTTATGTATATTTTACTAACCTTTAAACATGCACACAGATGCAAATTTTATAGTCCAGTTTTTCTTATTTCTTATTTTCGCACGTTTGTATGATTGTGACTTTTATTTTTATTTTTATTTTATTTTATTTTTTTTACTGAGCAAAAGCATATCGCTTACAGCGCTGAAAACAGCGGGCAGCCGGAAGTTAAGAATTGTGAATGCTTCCTGCTTGGCAGCACTGCCGTTAAGACGGATGTAAAATGGCGTAGAAAGAAAAAGGCACACAAGCGTTGGCTGTGGGAAGCATTGCGAGTTGGCATTAAAGCTGGTCATATTTGCGTAACTTGAACTATTAAGGTTGTGTGATTTTTTATTGAAAGTGTAAAAATAACCTGTTAAGTTAGTAAATAGCAATTGTGAATATGATATAATTTATGCCAAGTGTGAATATGGCATAATCTATAGCAATCAATAATCGACGCTGTTATCGAGCTATCGTCGACTATGACATCGGCACTTAGGGGCACCGAAATTGTGCATATGGAAACTGTGCATTTAGACATTATTTCGGTTTCAACCGAAACTGTGCATGTATGCTTTATTTCGGTTTT